TTTGTTTGTTTTTCGAGACAGAGTTTGTCTGTGTAACCCTGGGCTGGTCTGGAACTCAGAGATCTGCCTGTCTCTGCCTCTCAAGTGCTGGGATTAAAGATGTGTACCACCACCGCTGGGATTTATTGGTATTCTAAAAGACAGCAGTCTCACTGTGTTACTTTTGGCTGATGTAGAACTCAACTCTGTAGACCAGGTTGGCCTCAAACTTGAAAAGATATGCCTGTCTCTGCTTCCCAAGTTCTAGAATTAAACACATAACCCACCACAGGCTGGCCAAAGGCCCAAATTTATGAACTAAAAGGAGAAATTTCCTAGAAGAAACCACAGTTGTCAGGACCAGACAATGGCATCTTTAAATCTGACGTGGAAAGTACAGGTACAGGGGAAACAGATGGGTGAACTGAACTTTACCAAAACAAAAGCTGGGAGTAAGGGTCTGGGCTACAGGCTGCTCAATAGACAAGACTGCTTGTTCTGCACGCCTAAGGATCTGAGCTCAAAACCCCAGTACCCGTGTAAAAAACCAGGCACAAGTATGTGTGCCTGCCTAGAACTCCAACATTGTCCATGAACTTGCTAGACAGCCAGTCCAGCCGACAGAACTGTCTCAGAGTAAGGCATGAACTTTGAAAACATTTTGCAAGAAGCCAGAGATAAACATCACAGACTGTGATAGTATATACAATAGCCATTGTGGCGCTGAGCATACTGGTCCAGGCCTTTAATCCCTAGCATTTGGGAGGCAGAGGCAAAGGCAGAAGTGAGTTTGAGATCAATCTGATCTACATAATGGGTTCCAGGTCAGCCAGGGCTACATGGTGAGACCCTGTCTCAAAAGAAAAAGAATTCAAGGCCAGCCTCAGATACATAAAATAGTCTGGAATTCGGCATAAGATCCTGTCCATAAAAACAAAACAAAAACCAAACCAAACTAAGTAACTATGTCTCAAATAAATAGTAGGTTCAAGGTTGCCAGGAACTAGGGAGAAGGACATACTGGGACGGTCTGACTGCCAAAGTCTATACAGTTCCTTTGGGAATGACAAAAGCATTCTGTAGGTAGACAGCAGAGATGGCTGAGCTAGCTAGCAGAGCACACACCAGTGAGTAAGCCCTACAGCCAGCCAGCAAGCTCCAGGAGCCTGCTTTGATTCTCTGTTCTGACCTCCCTCAATGGCTGGCTGTGACCTGGAAGTTTAAGTCAAATAAACACTTTCCTCTCCAACTTGGTTTTGGTCAGAGTTTTATTGCAGCAACAGAAAGGAAACTTGAAAATGTCCCGATTTGACAGTTGCAGGTTCTGGGCTGCTGAGCTGAGAGCCATATCCTTTCTTCCTTGGTAGAGGAACTCCATTTATGTTGCTGTGTGCTCAGGACTTCACGTCTGCATGCCCAAAGGCTAGAGCTTAGCAAAGGAGCCTGGGGAGGCCTCCGTGGCAGAGGGGTCTCTGAGCCACAGTCTGCAGAAACAGCTCAGGCTGCTCCGGAGGAAACCAGGCTATTTTTTGGCAAAAGGCCCTGTAGGGAAAGGCTCATTAAGCCTGGGCGAGGGGTGCACGTGCCATTGAAGCACTTCCGGAAAGGGGTGGAAGACATTGAGGCAGCTCAGCCTTCCAGGCGTGAGCATCCGATGTTTCTTTGTTCAGTCTAAACAGGTATTTCCCTGCCAACTTTGCCATAGAAGGAACTAGATGACCAGATCTTAGAGGTACAGATTCAGGCTGTGGTGGAAACTGTACTCAGACAATGCAGCTGCCCTTGGAATCCTGGGGATTAGTTCCAAGATCCTCTTCAAAATCTGAAGCTCTCGGGTCCCTTATACAAAGCCACACACATTGCACATCTTCTTATTCTTCAAATCGTGTGCCTTCCGTAGTCTTCAGAGTATTCACCACAGGGGCAAGGCTGTGTAACTTGTTATGTTGTATAGCTCAGAGACTCATTCTTAAATAACAACAACAACAATCCCTGAATATCTGAAGGAAGGCTGGAAAAGTGGGTTTCTTGGGTTTTGTCCTAGAGGGTTGAATTTGTGGGAATGGAAACTTCACACACAGTCAAGGTGTTTAAAGAACACTGACTGCCAGAAAATATGACAAACAGCCTTTGAAGCTTGTGGCCAGTTCTATAAGTGAGAGGAATGTCCTAGTAAGCTGGGCATGTTGGCACATTCCTTTAATCTCAACACTCTAGAGGCAGAGGCAGGCAGATCTCTATTAAGTTCAAGGTAAACCTGGTCTACAGAGTGAGTTCCAGGACAAGGCTATGTAGAGAGATCCTGGCTTAAAAAACTTATAACAATCAATTCTAGTAAAAAAGAAAATGTGTGCCGGCAATATGGCTCAGTGGGTAGAGGTGCATGTCACCAAGTAAGACAACCTAGAAGACAATCTAGATCTGTAGAACTCACAAGGTAGGAGAGGAATCTTTTCCACAGGTAGCCTTCTGACCTCTACAAGTGAGCTGTGGCATGTGTACCTACACATTCACACACACAGAGACACACATACATGCATATACACATGCATACACACATATGCATGTACATGTATGTACACAAACACAATCAAGAAAGGCAGTGTGTATAACCTATAACATGCAAACAACCATTGTGAGTTTCCTGTTCTGTGCCACTAACAGCCAAGGTACAGGTTAATGAAAACATGGCTTGACAATAGAAAGACTGTGTCTGATGGATGTCTTGACCTGGACCAAGCTTTACACAGGGCAGGGGCTCCATTTGGGGTTTACTTGGTCTCCAGGCAAGTGAGAGTGAGGGCAATCCTGCCATGTGCAGTTTCTAGAGGTGGTCTAACAATTCATGAGTCCTGGCTCCTGGAGGCCAGCCACACCCAGCTGGAAGTCCAGTCCCCACTCTGCTTCCCTTTTCTTTGATAGCAGCTGCTGACTCCATGCCCTCCTTCCATGTCCTCGGAAGGTCATCAGCCTTCTGAGGACAAGGCTCCTCTCAACACATCCTACCCTGAGACATCATCCTACCCTGGAATGCTCCAGCCTTTAACTCCCCTCACAGGATGTGTAGAAACTGAGTCCCACTCCTGACAAAGGAAGTGGGTGGGAATAAACGCAGTTGAATAAGATCTTCCACAAGACAGTCATCAGAGGACAGCTGGGGGTGAGCACACACCCTAGGGAACAGGAACTTACGTGTGGAAGGGGTCAGGTGACTTCATGGCCACAGGTGGTAAAGGTGAGGCAGTCCTGAAGTTTTGCCTTGAGCTCTGCTGTGCTCACAGATGCCCCAGGGCCTCCAGCTGTAGGTGTACCTGAGAAGCAGGGCTTTCTTCTGTAGCCATCTTGGATCTAACTTAACCTCAGACATGCATCCTGTGTTGGGGTGCAGCTGAGCAGTCAAACACGCCCGACAGTACGAGGACTAAGGGAGCAGTGGACACTGTACTCTTTTGCTGCTACATAGCCACCAGCCAGCTTTTCAAGCCAAAACCTGTCCAACGACTCACATGGCCTCTTCTGACCCAGGTGGCTACAGTTCTATGAACTTCTCTTCACATGAAATCGAAGTATCTCCTTTTGTTAGTGTTTTATTCCAGTCAACACAAGGCTTCCAGGGCTCATCTGTATCACAGCCTGTGTTAGAATTGCCTTCCTGTTCATGGCTTAGCAATGTTCCATCACATGTCTAGTCTGTCTAAGTGTGTTGTATTTCAGCATGCACATAGTATGTCATGTTCTGTTATCCATCTGTCAGGCATGCAGGTTGCTTCCTTTTGTCTGTTATGAACAATGGTGAACACAGGTGTACTATGTTCTGCTTAAGTTAGTTCTTTTGTGGACCAGGCCTGACTTCCTCCTAATCAGTAGGGATCCTGACCTCAGACAGAGAATTCTCTAGGCCAGGCTTGTGGGGACAGGACCCCAGGCTGGGTAAGGAGCCAGAGCTGAGAATCAGGAACCTGGAAGCTACTTTGTATCCCTCCTGATTGGGGTTGTAGGAGAGGAGAGTGGAGGAGACACATACCACAGCATGGAGAAGGGTGGACAAGGGAGGCCTCTGTTTCCAAAAGGGCAGGCATGCTGCAGAGGCGGCCCTGGGGCTGCAAAGGGCAGCACAGGCCACAGGGGCAGAGGTTACAAAAAGGGAGAAGACGCTTGGACTGGTGGCTTGTCAGAAGCCCTTAGTGAGGGGCCCATGGGGGTGTCTGGAATGCTCTGATTTGACAGATGGCCCCAGCTTGGCAACTCCTGAAGCAGAGGAACACAATGCAGACACTCAAAGCACAGGGGGCTCTGGCATACCAGGGGCTATAACCTTGGCTCTTAGAGCTGTGTGTTTGCGTGCTTTGGGATAGAGGGTTATGGTTGGGCAAAGGCGGAGTCCAGTCCTCTGAGAATCCCTCTTATTGCCAACCCTAAGCAACTTTCAACTGCTTATGTAATATTTTTTGGTGCCAAAGTGTCTAGGTTCAGGTACCAAACGATGACAGCTGGGGAAGGTGTATCCACTAATAGGATATGCAATGCTTCTCTGGAATGGTGAGTCAAATATACCCAAACGCCATAGCCAAAGTACAGACCCGAGGCTGTCACTCATGGTGCCGACAGGAGAGCGGGAGGGTGGAGGGGCAGTCCTTGAGGTTCCTTCCTGCCAGCACAAGTGCTACTCTGATGCACTACGTACGGCTCTCCTTCCTGGGTCCTTGGTAGAACCCAGATGACAAACTGTCCCTTTTGAACCAATGCCTGCCTAGAGCAGAATTCACCTTCCTGGATGGTACAGGGATCCCAGGAGGCCATGAAGTCAGCCTGGACTCAGTCACTGACAACTGGACCTGAGCTGGCAGAGGTGCCAAGGAGCCAGTTGGCTCAGCTTGTCACTAACACTGGAGCCAGAGCCAAAGATGTGTGGCCTGATGTCTGCAGCACAGGTGATGTAGTGTCCCACAGCATGCTGGGGGAGGGAGGAGGAGGGGACGGGCTCCAGAGTGTGAGTACCCACCCTGCACCTGGGTTCTTACCAGGCTGACGGAACAGTCCATCTATACTGAGATCCCAGAGGAGACCAAAAGCTCTTGAAGATGTTTCTGGAGGCCATGTTAATAACTATGAAGAAAAAGAAAAGACATTTATTTATTTATTTATTTAGTTTTTTTTTTTTTCAAAACAGGGTTTCTCTGTGTAGTTTTGGCTATACTGGAACTCACTCTGTAGACCAGGGTGCCTTGAACTCACAGATATCTACCTGCTCTAGAAATTTTTTTATTACAAGTAATGGTAGCAAAACTTTATGTATGTATGTATGTATGTATGTATGTATGTATGTTTTGGTTCTTTGAGGCAGGATTGAGCCACTGAATAGTTAAGGATGGCCTTGAACCCACTGAACAGTTAAGGATGGCCTTGAACCCACTGAATAGTTAAGGATGGCCTTGAACCCACTGAACAGTTAAGGATTACCTTGAACTGTTTGTTTTTTTTTCCTGATGCCTCCTCCCAAGTGCTGGGATTCTAGGTGTGAAGCACTTGGAATAGCTTCATACATGTGTTAAATAGGACTCTTTTTACTGCTTCCAAGTCAATAGGGTGGATGATATTGTCATGATTGTCATGACTCCCAGCCCCCTGCCCAGGGCCACACAGCTGGAGGCTGCATGCTAAGTGGGACTTTGTACCTCTACTTTGATCATCCAGGCTGTGCCTGGCTCAAGGTGTGTCCTCTCTAGGCCAGTGCTGGGGTCTAAGAGCTCATCTTCTATGCTCAACTAGGATGACTCCCATGGTCTCCTGGTTCCAGAACATGTTCCCACCCCACTTCCCACCCCCTATCACACACAATGAGGAGACTGCTGGGAATCCGATGGCAATGAATCATTTATTCAGCTTTTGGCTTGATTAAGTCAAGAGTACCAAGGCCTGGCTGTTCACCTGGTGTATGTAGCATGCCTACAAGAGGCCCTGGAGTAAGGAAGGGGCAAGCCCAGGGCCACCAAGTCCCAGTGACGATAGGACAAATGGAGGGTCAACCAAGCAGAGGTGGTAAGATCCGATGGTCACTCCTCATTTAGAATGGACCCCAAGTGGGCTGGACAACCTGTGCCTTGCCCAATCTAGCTGCTTTGCCTGGACCAGGTTAGCTAGTCTCCCATTCAGCAGTCCAGCGGGGCCTGGCCTTGTCTGGCCATGGTCCTGGAGAAGAGAAAGAAGTCTGCCTTGAGTGTCTACCCTCCCTATCCCTGGTTCTTCTGCCTGAGGCCTAGCCATGTCTAACTTCCCAGTGGGGATCCTTGCAGTTGTTTTAGGGAGTTCTCAGTAGCCTGACAGAACAGCAGTACTGGTGTCCTTGCTGTTGCTGTTCCTTGCCCATGTCCTGAGGAGAGCTGAGGATCTGGGGAAGGGAACAGCTTTAAGGACAAGACAGGCTGTAGGACTTTTTCATTTAACCCACACTGGACTGTTGGCTCCACCATACAGAGCTGACGCCTGGGACTTGGCCAAAGCAACCCAGAAGTCAAAGTGGCAGAGCCTGAGCTTGCACCTGGGGCTAGGCCTAAACTCTGCTGCCCTGTGTACCTGTCTGGTTCAATGGACACTGCACAGAAGCTAAGGGAGACCTCTCCATGCAGTCCACGGCCTGGATTTCAGAATCTAGTGGAGACTGAGCCATGGGGGGGGGGTACTTCTCTCCTGTCAGGGTCATACAAGGATCCTCTGTGGGCGATGTCTGAGAGGGGTCCTTTGTGCCTCCCGATGCCAATTGTGCATTTTGTCATATTCTGTGGAAGGAGCAGAGACCGCACTGCGGGTACAGAATAATAGCTTGACTGTTTCTGGCTCCTATTCACCCTGCAGGCCCAATCTCCCCACCCCAGGAACTGGGGGAGGGACCAAAAGGCAGCTATGCACAAGGGTTCCAGGGGCCCAGTGTCCTTCCCCCTCCAGGACAGAAGCACCACAAGGGTCCTGAGAGGGTGCAGAGTAAGCTCTACCTGGAAAGCCAAGCTTGAGAAGTGTCTAAACAATCTGCCTGGCATGCTAGCCCTGATTGACAGCTGGGCTCCAAGCCCCAACTGGCAGCTCCAGTACCAGCTGGAACTTGTGACCAGAAGTCCCAGACAGGGACAGGCGTAGACAGGGACCAAGGCAAGGCAGATGCAGGACATTTGGATGGCAGCATTAGCTTCTGGGTTGTCTACTAGCCTCTCACCTAACACGCTTATATTCTCAGGCAGAATGTGTGTTGCCTTGAGGCAAAATGTTCCTCCAGGGAGGAACCTGGGGTGAAGGAGCAGCTGTTCTTCGATTTTCCAGTCCACCTACAGCTTCATAGAGAGCATCAAACCCTTAAACTCCAGAGAGTCTATAGCAATGAACTCAGGAACCCCAACCTCCACTGCTGCAGCGGGGCCTGGGAGGCCCCTCCAGCTGTGCTCCTGAGATGATCCATTCATGACTGTGACAGCAAGAGATGGTGCTCACAATGGACTCTCTGGTTGAATAGAATGCACCCAGTCATTCAGTTCTAAGCCTATTAGGAACACCAGGCATCCCAAGAAAGCCGCACACCTTACCCAGTGGTCACTCAGTGGCATAGAAATACCCTAGAGGCACACAGTCTGGGGAGTGTTGAACAGACACTTCCAGGCAGTCTCCGTTTCTGGGCTAACCAGGCTCCTGAACCTCCACGACTCTGGCACATCCAGCGTTATGGTGATCAATCCCTGCCAGCCCTCCTCCATCCTCTCTCTGTATCAGAAGCCCCCGAGGCAAGAAGAGACTGAGGACCCAGCCAACCCGACCCTTGCGCCTGCCCGGGCTATAGGGCTGCCTTATTCCCGCCACCTAGCGGCAGGCCTGTGTTTCTCACCTGGAACAGCCACCGCAGCAGAGGCTGAGGGCAATCAACAGCATGTAGGTAGAGGTTGCTCAGGAGGCCATTGTGCAGGAAAGATAGCTGCCCCGGCAGAGAGGACCTGTGGGGCCAGGGCAATTAGGTTAGGGTCGCCTCCCTCAGCAGGGACCCTCTGGCCAGCCGGGCTCAATGGCCTTGCTCGAGTCACCTCTGCTTCTAGAGGAAGCCATGAAGCACACAGAGACATTAAAGACAAAGGTACTTTTACAATCCTTGGAATGAAGTATAATGGGAAAGAGAAAACTAGTCAGGACATCGTCAGAATAGTTTGTTGTCTCCAAAGCTGCTCACAGAGCCCTTCACGGTGCTTTAAACCCACAACTGACTAGTATTTTTGTCCTTGTTACATGACAAAGAGAAACCAAGGTAAGGATCCTGGCCAGGTAAGAGAAACTAGGGGTAAGGCATCTGTGCCTGAGGCTCCTTCTGGGGCTCCAGCTGCAAGGGGTGGACAGGATTACCCATAGGCACCTGTGTCTTTGGGTCCAGTTACACAGCGTTTCCGCCTCACCTTGTGTTCTTCTGACACAGAGGGGACACCTGAGAGGATGGGAAAATAATAGAAAGAGACCCAGAACTGGGGCATCTTGGAAGGAAATACCCAGGAAGGGTTCCACAAAGGTTCTTCCACTGTGTCGGCTATACTCATCCCAGGAGTGCATGCGTGTCATCAGGTTAGTAACATGGCTTTCAACAGAACCTGTGTGTGCAGTACTGCATCCTGTCAGAACAGGCTGCTGGTAGGGACATAAGCTCTGGCAGGTCATCCTGACTTGCAGGACCTCTGTCTTGAGGAGTTAGCTATATGGTGTAGTGTGTGTAGCTTTGGAAGGCTACATTGGACTCTGTCACGGTCTGAATTCCTGATCACTTGAAACTGGGTATTGGGTAGGGTGCTCCACCCTTTCAGCATTTTGTGCTTTCTCTCTAGAGAACAGAGATGGCCAACTTGGATTCCAGGAAATGAAACCATGAAGTGAATACTCAGACAGCACCCTAGGTCCCAATCCTCTTTGGCCAGCCCTTTCTGCCCTACTCCTTTTCTGAAAAGGACATCATACTGCCATCTGCCAGGAACAGAATGCTCCAAAACCAAGATTTTCCCCTGAGCCAAGCTGCTGTCTCTCTGAGTCTGTCCAGGCCATTTACAAATTACATATATTTTTAAAGTCATTTAAATTTGGAAGAGAAAGAGACATTGTTCCTGTGCTCACGATGGGTTAACTACTGTGAAACAGACTTTCCTGTGTGTGTACGGGTCCCACCCATTCTGTTCCAGGTACCTGTCACAAAGATGCTTTCTTGGCACAGGCAAAGGAATGGCACCCCCTAGCAAATGAAGTCTGAGTGCTTACACACTGACAGGACCTGCTAGAGGCATGTGTCAAAGCCACTGGAAATCAGGGGGTTGGTAGGGGGTCTGGGAGATACTAGCTCTGGCATTCTGCTGGGGTGGGGCACCCTGCCAGTTGCTCAGTGGGGGAACCAACTGTACAGGCCCCTGCTGGCCTGGAGTAACACATTTTCAATTGCTGCTCAGAGGGAGTGTCACTGTGTCTCCTTCTGCTTTTCTGGCTTCCCAGTGCACTTCCTGCTGGAGGAACGAGGGCTGCCTTCAAGTTCATCTCTATCGAGGCTGATTTCCTCCATAAGGCGAGCCAGGGAGCCAGAGGCCTTGCCCCATAGTGCACCGGAGCACATGGCTTTCTATGCATTCTAAGTCTCAGCTACATGAGCTTCGAGGAGTGAGATGCGACTGGGGAATGAGGAGTGTGGGTCTCTGGATGTGAGAGGGCCTGCTGACCATAATGACACAAGGGCCCAGTGCAGACATTGGCTCGACCATGAAGAGTAAGGACGGACTCCATAACACTCCTGGGCACAGAGGCCTGGAACAAAAAGGAAGGAAGCTATGCCATGAACCCTCAAAAACCTTGGGTAGCATAGTCAGTTGTTAGACTGCATAAGAGCCAGTGTCCAATCTCCACAGTAAGAACACTGATTCTGGGCCAGGGACAGCTCAACTGGTAAAGGTGCCGTGACAACCCAATCTAATCCCTGGGACCAACATGGTAGGAGAGAACTGACTCCTGAAAGCTGGTCTTTGGTTTCCACTAGCTTGCTTTGGTAGACACACACATACACACA